TCGTGGTCTTCTCTGCAGGTGCGCGCGGCGGCTTCTTCAACCTCCGTGTCCGCTATGGCGGACTTCTTCTCCGTTAGCCACTTCAGCTATGGCGCGTTACTCTCCCTGCGGCACACGACGACGCGCGTGGAATAGCGGGTACCAGCTCCGATACCAGTGCAATCAGACTCGCTTTCATTCACACTTCTCATGCATGCAAACAGGTGCGCAGCAAACTGGCGACAAGCGCCCACTCAGAACTCCGAGATATGGTAACCGAGAACACAGTTCAGATACAAGTTCACTTCAATGGCTATGGCGACTCAGCGCCCACAAAACTCACTGTTCGCATACACAGGATCACCCAGGATATCCCACACGCGATACTCTGAACACACACACACACACACACTGAACTCTATCTACAGCTATGGCGGCTATGGCCGCTTCTCTCTCGCCCACTTCGTCCTCAGGCTCACTGCAGACCACCTCGCACAAGTCGCTTATGGCAGCGCTTCTGCATGGCTTACGCAGGAATGAATGAATGACTGGGCGCTGCCTCTCGATTTATACTTCTGCAGCTCGTTGGTCTGGCCCTGTCCCATGCCCGTAGTGCACACAGTCCCATGCGGTACTTGCTTGACTGGACCAGGACTGACTGGGACTGGGACTGATGACTCAGCATGGGTAGACTCCACCACTTGCCCACTTGCCTCAGCCTAAACATGGGCAACTTCGAAAGGCCACTACTCGGACCTTCCGGAAGGCCGTAGACTTGGCCTTTCGATACTGTAGCAGCTACGACCTTGACACTTCGAGAAAGCTACAGCTATGACTTCTAGACCTGACTGAGACTCCTACTCGACAGGTCTACAGATCGAACCCCTGCTACCTATGGACCCTACGACAGCCTACCAACTGTTACAAATACGCAGGTCACAGGTTCAACTCTAGGGGTCGACACAGATACTGTACACAGGTAAGGTGGGGACTAGGGATAGAGCCCTGGGATCTGCATCGGCCACTGCGAACTGGTGAATACCGTTTCATAACAGTTACCCTGGAACAAATAGCTGGGAAAGATACTGGAGGTTAAAAGAGTACAAAATTGCAAATAGTAACCTTCCTTGGTCACATTGGGATTAACCCGGATGCATCTGACCTGAATTACTAATTATTACTACCAGATAGTCTTTTTGATTCAACTGAGAGGAGATGTGCATGCTTAGCATATACATGCAATGACCCGTTAGTCTCAGCGGTCAAAGTCTAACACAACAGGCTGAGAGCTGCTCAGATGTGTTCCCTGATGTAGAAAACCATGCTTTTCCAAGTATTGTGCGGCAAGCATGTCCTTCTTTGCAACAACCTTGGAACTCTTCAGGGTCTGTGTAAGCCTATGCTGACTTGAATGTCTGTGTACAGGTCTCAGAGTAAGACAGAGATTGGAATGCAAAAGGCAGGAACTTTAGGGGTAAGCCTGGAACTTGCACAACAGACGTACAAGCATGCAACTCTGAAGTTACCGGGGTGTACCTGCAATGTTGGAGAGACCCAATAGGAATTTTCCGGCAAGTGCGTTGTAGGACTGGAGGCCAGAGGCCGGGGGTAGATAACTGTTACATCTTCGAGTCACACGGGTCCTACCGGACCCGACTTAGGGCCGGAGGGACACACCAGGCCCTAAAGGCCTGATTTTGCACTTTGAGGGTCACAGGCCCTAAAGGCCTGATTTTGCACTCAGCCCAGCGGGTAGGCCCAAACGACACTTTGTTTGGGCCTGGCAGCGCTCTTGAGGCTGCCACCCGCCGATGGAGGCTGAACCGTCCATCTGGACGGTCCAGGGTCTGGCCTGGCCTCGCAGCATTGAGGCCAGACCAT